TTAATGTTGTTTCCGAATTGATAAATATGACAGACATAGAAAGTGCAAGGATGAAAAGTCTGGGCTTTGCCCCGGAAAAAAAATGTAAAAGTTTTGACTGCAAGGACCAGAAGTGTGAAAATGGCTAAAGAATTAAAGGGGTAGGAATTAGCAACTTTTTAGAAAAGGGATCAAAGTTGTCAAAGCGTTAAAGTTTTGTGGCCAAACTTTAAATATTAAAAGGTTCCAAAAAAGTGTAAAAATATTGATTGGAAGGACCAAAAGTGTCAAAATGGGTAAAGAATAATGACCAAAGTTGCCAAAAAACATCCAAATTTAGTATTTCTAACTTCCAACAATAATACACGGACCAATTATGCCAAAAAAATGGGAAGTTGAATGGAACACAAACCCAACAATAATACAGGGACCAATTCTGCCAAAGAAAATGGGAAGTTGAATGGAACACAAACAAAAGGACATGAATAAATTAATTAAAGAAGTACAAGGACCGGATATGTAAATCAAGGGCCAAAGCTGGACAAAGTATGCCAACTTTACTATTCCTTTCTTCCACAACTTATAATATATATATAATAATATCCCTATATTTATTATAAAAAAAACATTTTTAATGAATCAAAACCAGTTTTATAAAAAAAGACACTATGATTATGAAGGTTCATAGATGATCAACCACACCCGATCCCAATCCATCACTGAAGCTCACAAAACAGTAGTCGCCCTTCACTCCTCTCTCTCCATTTGACTCCAATTCTCAGATTTTTAACCATTTTCAGTGATCCCTTTTCACCATCTTCCCCAAAGGGGTCGCCAACCCCTTTTTACCATCTTCAATCCAACTATACAAAACCCCCAGAAAAAGCTTCAATTTTGCAGGCAAGATGGCGACGGAGATGGCGAATACCGATCCAGAGGGAATCGACGGAGTTCGTATGACCTGGAACGCCTGGCCACGCACAAAAGTTGAAGCCAGCAAGTGTGTGATTCCAATCGCCGCCTCGATCTCGCCGATCCGCACTCATCCTCTCATCCCCACCAATCCCTACGAGCCACTCAGATGCAAGACCTGCTCCGCCGTACTTAATCCCTTCTGCCGCGTCGACTTCTCCGCCTTCATCTGGATCTGCCCATTCTGCTTCCAACGCAACCACTTCCCTCACCACTTCTCCGGCATCTCCGAAACTAACGTTCCCGCTGAACTCTACCCTCAATACACCACTATCGAATACGCACTTCCTGTTCATGACGTCCACCACACGCTTCCTCCACCTGTCTACGTATTCGTACTTGACACCTGCATGATCGAGGAAGAATTAGGGTTTGCGAAATCGGCGTTACAACAGGCGCTTGAATTCTTACCAGAAAACGCTTTGGTCGGGTTTGTTTCTTTCGGAACTCAGGTTCAGGTTCATGAATTGGGATATTCCGATATGTCAAAGGTTTATGTTTTTCGAGGATCAAAAGAGATGACCAAAGATCAAGTTCTAGAGCAATTGGGGTTAGGCGGAGGTTTCGCCGGTGGCCGAAGACCTGGTGGCGTGCCGGTGCCAGGGCAAGGGTTTCAGAAAGGACCAGTACAACCAAATGCTGGTGTCACAAGGTTCTTACTACCTGCTTCCGAGGGTGCATACATTATCCATTCGGTGAGTTTTATCATCACATTGTTTTAAATTCAATCCATTCCTTTCAATCGGATGCTTATCAAATCCATAATTCAGCTTCTGGAGGAATTAGGAACAGATCAATGGCCTGTTGCTCCTGGTAATCGTTCATTAAGGTGTACTGGAGTCGCATTGAGTGTTGCAGCAGGTCTGCTTGGAGCTTGCTTGCCTGGAACAGGTGCTCGTATGGTGGCGCTAGTCGGAGGTCCCTGCACAGAAGGCCCTGGTTCAGTAAGCCATTTTGATATCCATTTTTCATTTAATCATTTCCACTTCCCATTAAACCCAAACCTCCATCTCCCTTCAATCTTCTTTCAGATTATATCCAAAGATCTCTCAGATCCTGTTCGTTCACATAAAGATCTGGACAAAGATGCAGCACCATATTTCAGAAAAGCAGTTCAGTTTTATGAAGAACTTGCAAAGCAAATGGTCAGCCAGGGTCATGTTTTGGATCTTTTTGCTTCTGCCCTTGACCAGGTCAACATTCATTCTCTTAACTCTTCTATTCATTCCATCATTCTGTTCTTAACTGAACCTTTTTTTATATCTTAGGTTGGAGTTGCAGAAATGAAGGTGATCATTGAAAGAACTGGTGGACTTGTTGTTTTAGCTGAAAGTTTTGGTCATTCAGTTTTTAAAGATTCATTCAAACGTGTTTTTGAGAAAGGAGAAGAGTCTCTTGGCCTTGCTCATAAGTGAGTACATAAGATGAATATATTATCATTAATCATTATATTATTGGATGTATAACTATAAATGTATAATGAATTTGTGAATTGTGATTACATTACTTTCAGTGGCACACTTGATATTACATGTTCAAAGGATATCAAGATTCAGGGGATCATAGGACCTTGCACATCATTGGAAAAGGTGGCAATTTAGTCATTTACTAAATTGTTCATTAATCTTTACCAATTTGTATATAATAATTTTTTTTTTTGCTATTTATGTTGCAGAAAGGACCTGCTGTTGCAAACACAGTGATAGGTCAAGGGAACACCACATCATGGAAGCTATGTGGACTTGATAAAGACACTTGTTTGACTGTTTTCTTTGATATATCATCAAGTGATAAAGATCCTTCTGGAAATGTAAATCCACAGTTGTATATACAAACCACCACAAGGTAAAATCACCTTCTTTTTCCCCACATTAAATTGATGAATACTGTGAAAATTGTTTCTTGGAGAACATAAGGGTAAAACGGTCATTTTGGTGCAGATACCAGGGTGTTGATGGGCAACCGAAACTACGAGTTACTACAATTACTAGAAGATGGGTAGAGAGTGCTGTCGTTTCAGAGGTAAAAAAATAGTAAAACCCTTTTCTTTATTTGGCTAAAAGACTTATTTACCCTTTTCCTTAACAGGAATTGATGCAAGGTTTTGATCAAGAGACTGCTGCTGTAGTAGTGGCTAGATTAACTTCTTATAAAATGGAAATGGAGGTGAATTTGCACTTTCCTTTCTAGTACTTTTTTATACAAATCAAATGTATAAATTTTATTTACCGAATTACCCTTTTCAGGAATCATTTGATGCAACAAGGTGGATAGATAGAAACCTAATTCGCCTATGTTCAAAATTTGGAGACTATAGAAAAGACGACCCTTCTTCATTTTCTTTAAACCCTAGTTTCTCATTGTTCCCTCAATTCATGTTCAATCTTCGAAGATCACAATTCGTTCAGGTAAAAAGTTGTTAATTTACCGAATTGCTCTTTTTGTTATATGTTGAGTTTTTTTAATTTTATGAAATGTTGGCAGGTGTTTAATAATAGTCCAGATGAAACTGCTTATTTTCGGATGATGTTAAACAGAGAAAGCATAACAAATGCAACTGTGATGATTCAGCCTTCATTGATTTCATATTCATTTAACTCACTTCCTTCTCCTGCATTGCTTGATGTGGCATCAATTTCAGCTGATAGAATCTTGTTGTTAGATTCTTATTTCAGTGTAGTTGTTTTTCATGGCATGACAATTGCTCAATGGAGAAACAATGGCTACCAACATCAGCCTGAACATCAAGTACTTTTTCTCATTTTCCCTCATTTCACTTTTCCTTTTTATAATTTAAAAAAAAAAAAACCATCAGATTAATATTTTTTTATATTTTGTAGGCATTTGCTCAGTTGTTACAAGCGCCACATGATGATGCAGAACTGATAATACGTGAGAGGTTTCCTGTCCCACGATTGGTGGTGTGTGATCAACATGGTTCTCAGGTAAATGACCATTTTACCCTCGCATTCCAAATAACAAATTTCACAATATTGATTAGTTATTGAGTAAATTACAGATAAAGTGTTGTTGTATACACTATACATAAGGTTTGTTTCTTTTCTAGACTGAATAAACCGTTTGAATGAGACTGAATGACCATTTTACCCTTGCATTCCAAATAACAAATTTTTGCTAATAGGTAAAAGGGTTGGTGTTTGAATACATTAAGTCATTGTTTACAAATGGATTAAGCCAAAAGGAAACAGCAATGTATAGGTGTCCAGATTAAGTGATTAACTGATTAATATGTGAAAAACAGGCAAGATTCTTATTGGCTAAGTTGAATCCATCAGCAACATATAACAATGAAGTGGCTACAGCTGGAATGGATGTCATCTTCACTGATGATGTCAACCTTCAAGTCTTTTTTGAGCATTTACAGAGGCTTGCTGTTCAAACTTCTTGAAAATTAAGGAAATCTTCATGTCTTCTTATTGTTATAAAAATGTTCATATGAATTGAGAGTCTTAAAAGAGAATGCTTATTTCAGGGAGAGAAGAGTATTTGGTAATTCTAATTTTGACTTTTTTTTTTTTTGTAAGTTACAACTTGTGAGATGGATAGTATGTCTATTGTGTATTTTGAGAACTTTAAGGTTATATATTGGAGCGGATTCTGCTCCCAAGGAGCCGAAAAAGGGGGAAAAATTGGTTGTGTTTTTTTTTTTTTTTTTTTCTTTTGTGTAGATTGTTGATACATGGACACTTTTGATTCTCTTTTTGTACTTTTGGATTGATAATCTTCTTCATTTGAATTTGAACTTTTGTTTTTAAGTAGTGGCATTTGATTTCTCTAGATGTTTCTTAAGGAATTTGAATTGGAAGTATTTGAAATGTAAAAGATAATAAATTTTCTTTGTTGGTAGGAAATGCACAGGTTTTTTGGGTTCAAAAGGGTATTTTAGTAATTTGGAGAATAGAAGAGAGAAGATGCCCGACATTTGGAGAGAAAAAAAACATTTATTTGTTAAAATTATAATGCAAAAGGGTATTTTACTAATTTTAACAAAGGTACATAAAAAAATGTATATTTCTACATCATTCATATCATGTAAACCTATCTTCATCAATTTGATGTTGCTTCACCAACTTGATAAGATGCTCATAGCTCCAAACTTTACTCTCTCTATGATCAAGTTCTTCAACAATTTTCAAAAAACCCCCCTTTCCAAATGCAACAACAATCAAAGGGTTACTTTTAAACTCCACAACATCTCCAAACAATCCCACTTTTCTCCAATAACTTAACTCATCAAACCCGTATACATCACACAAAATCCCACAAGTAACAATATCACCTTTCACACCTCTATCCACCATTTTCAAGATTACAACTTTCATGTTCTCAACATCTTTCATTCTCCCATATGCAAACAACATTGTGTTACCAATCGTCACATTCCATCCAACTTTCTTGTATTCCATCTCTTGAATCACGGATTCCATTCCGGTTCTACTCAAAAGACACGCGTGACTAAGCATCCGTAAACACCACACCATGTCACTATTCTTTGTTTTGGTATGATAAAGCTCGTTTCCCAAATAGTTTAACTTAGAAAACATAAAGTTCTCAATGTAAACAATAGCCACTTTATGAATCAAATCATCTTTCAAGAAAACTTTCGGTTTTAACTTCAACACCTTTTTATAAACCTTCTCCATCTTTTCCAATATCCCAAAGTTGGCATACGCATCGAGCATTGCCACCATTGTTGAAGCTTCAAGATCCATCTTTTTTGAGATCACAATCTGATATGTTCTTTCCATTCTTTTAATCAATCCAGCTATTGAAAACTCTCTGATTAACAAATTATAAGTAGATTGATTAGGGAAACACCCGTTTGATTCCATTCTTTTAACACACTTTGCCATATCATCATACAAACCATTATCTGCATACGCTTTGATTAGTTTATTATACGTATGTGGCTGTGGAATCACTTTGGTATCTTCCATCTCCTTAAGATAAAACAATGCATCTTCGGATCTTTCTTTTTTGAGAAAACCATTGATGATTGAATCATAGATCTCAGATGAAGCCTGCAAACCATGAAAATTCTTCATATCTTTCAAGGTCAACGCTGCAACTTCAACTAATCCCTCTTCAACTAACAAACTTATGATTCTCTCGTAGTTGAATTGGCTCACTCGAGAATCATCCTTGCTCTTCCATTTATCAAACACCTGGTGGGCAACATTACAAAACATGAACTATCGCACCATAGAAAAGCTTGACATCCTTACAATCGATCCCATTTACAGAAAGGTTTTAATAAAGAAACTAATGACGTTTAAAGAATGTGAAACTTCACCTGAAGAACCTGGATCGATCTGGAGGTTTGATTGAGGAATCCAACAGCAGCCCAGAAAAGTTCTTTGCTCCAATCTCCATCCTCTTCGAGGATCTGAACAGGGTTTGAGTCTTTAGCTTTGAGCTTCTCAAACAAACTCCTTTTGAGGTTCCAATTTCGAGGAAGATCATCAAATTGAACCGAATTTTCTTTGTAAAAGTTCGTTTTGCCACCGGAGAAGTGTACTGAAAGAGGAGGAGGTTTGGTCGGACGTTGGAATTGGGGTTTTGTAGACGTTAGGGTTCTGATATAGGGTTTGGGAAAAACTAGGGTTTTATAGAGGAAGGTTTTATCGTTGATGGATATAGAGGGAAGGAGCATCCCCACACCCATTTGAAGACCAAGCATGAAACTACCGCCGACTGTTTTTTTTGTGATTGCGCTGTTATTTCATACTACGAAATATTAATTAGTATATTACAAATTTCTGTGTATTTATTTGTTTTGTTTGATGAATCTGATTACAATTTTAACTTTACAGTTTTTGTAGAAATATAATTTTTTTTTTGAACCATGAACCCCTAGTAAAATTACACGCCTCAATGACAAAATTTTCATCAGGGATGTAAGAAACGAAGTAGAAGCTACAAAAAAAAAACTAACTCTTTAATAAAAGGCTAAAGACATGTTTGATAAAAACCAGTTAGAATTTGTAGTTTTTATTTATATAAAACTGTTTGATAAAAATAAAAATAGTTGTTTTACTTTTAAAAATATAAAATATATAAAAATTAAAAGTTAAAAGCTGGTCGAAACTATTTAAAGTAATTTTTGGATACATACTTATTATTTAAAATAAAAGTTAAAATCTCGTATTAACAAACAAAACTTTTTCTTTAATTCAAATCTTTTTCTTAAAAAATAAAAGTTAAAAGCTCTTAAAAATATCAAAGATCGTCACCAAAAACACAAAACATAATAAATTTACAATTTGTCGTCTAAATTTTTTCCACTATTTTTAATTATAATTAGTTAATTTATTGACTTTGTTAAGATTCAAACTATATTCTCTTCAAAATAACAAGGTTTTTTTAGTGAATTTTGCTGCCGTTTAAAGATGAAAAATACCAAACTCGACCTATCGTTTATCTTCTTTATGGGTATGATACCATTTATAGAGTCATATTGGCCTTTTTAAAAGCAAAGATGATGTAATAAAACCACAACAATTAAAAATATAATAAATTTACAATCTTTCACCGGAGTGTCGAACATCTAATTCCTTTTTAAATATATTCATCAGTTTCGTATTTGTTTCTCTTTTTAGTTATAAAAAGCAAAACCCAAGTGACACACCCAATATATCTTATACATTAATCTACACTACGAAAGATGTTAAAGCACAAATCTACCAAAATAACAAGTAATCACTAAGTTTTTAACATGCTCGAAAGTTGTTACAACATGTAAAAGAAAACTATTTACATACGTCTATATACCCAATCTTACGTTGCAATAGTTGCTAAAACACAAATCCAACCAATATAACATTGAATTTAGGTTTTTGGAAATGAAGACAAGTTTGAAAAACTAAATTTAGGTTTTCGTAGACTAATATATGTAAATGAGTTGTTGATCTCAATGACCACATTAAATGCGTTATTCGAAACACAAATCCAACCAATATAACATTATATTTAGGTTTTCGAAAATGAAAAGCAAGTTCGAAAACATGAATTTAGGTTTTTGTAGACTAGTATATGTAAATGAGCTATTGATCTCAATGACCATATAAAAAAACTTGTCCTACGTAATAATGATCACACAATTTCGAAATTTGAGAAATAACTACAATGTTCGAAATCTGTAATTAAAAAAAATCAGATTATCATACACATTTTTATGACATTATCGAAATGAATATACTTTTCAAACTACTTTTACTAACAACAAGCAATTAGAAATTTTCAAACGTTTACAAATTTTCAAACTTCTTTAAGTGATAAGACGTTTTCGGGAAAGGTATATTTATTTTGAAATTTAGAAAAACTTTCTTACCATATACTACTAGCTCATTTATCAAACAAAAAGTTAGAAGAGACATTAGAAATTCAGAAAAAAAAATAGAAAATGGATCTGACATGCTAAATTTTTTAGAGATGTTATGCATATGGGAGGTACATGACAAATAATAAATTGTGTTATGCAATGCTTAACATCATAATGAAAGGAGTATGATATAGATTTTCCTGCAAATACGAAGTATGTTGATTTTGGTTCAAATGGCGACTAGCAAAGTTCATGTAATAGAAACACATATAGAAATATATATAGTTATAATGACATACTAACTTATTATATCGAGATAGTTGAGTGTATCAATGTGAGATGCCTTGTGGTGGTTGTTCCCATATTTGATTTGAATGAATAAAAGCTATAATGACATACTAACTTATTATATCCGATTGTTCATTGTATTATATGAAATCGGACGGTCGATATCATCAATTAACTAATCCAATCATTTAGAACGTAATTTCTTCAATATAACTTAACCAACTTCTACAAATATATCCTTAATTCTAGCATCTTCGAACGATCTATACAAAAGAAAATTGAATTAGAAGGAGCCTCAATTGTTTGTTCGTATATCAAAGTAGTTGGTTTCCAAACCGTAAGCTATCATTTCTAGTTTTCTTGGTCCGATGGAAGATCAGAGAAAAACAACATTCAATAAGTCATAACATATATAATTTCAGTTCTCACTAAAATAAGTATTTTTTGAAATAATTTTAAATTTTTAAAGTAGTTTCGAACAAAATGAACATAATACTTTATTCTTCGACTAGTTTTTATTATGATTTCCAATAAATTATATGAACATTTACCTACATAGATAACAAAACTTACTTCAAATCTCACGGTCCTTCATATTTTTTTGAACTCATTCTTATTTATATGATGTGGTTACAAGATTTTAGAACTTGTTTTTTTAGAATGTCTTGAATGAATTTCGGAAGTCAAACTTAGAAAAAATAAAGTTTTAAATAAAAAATCCCTTGTTTAGTAATTCGAAATAAAGCTTCATTTTCGAAAAACCTTGTTAAAATAACCATGGTTACTATATGAATTTACATTTGAGATGATCATTAAATTTTGTTAGAAAAATGTCATTGAGGTCAATAGGTCGTTTTGTATTAGTGTTATATAGCAATTTTACATCGCATTTTGTTTAAAAATAAAATTTAGTATTGGGTCAGAGATGGGGCTCAAGAGTGTTTGCCAAGCTTTAGTTCCACCTTATTCGGGTGATTGGGGGTTGGGTCGCCACTCGTTTCTCCCCCATATGTTGTTATCAGAATCATAGCTACTGGAGATAGTTACAGTTCTGAAATAAAGAAACCTGACCATATCAACATGATGACGTAACTTACCATGTCGAAGCTTCAAAAGTTTGAAGCTATGATGATATCATGAAACAAGAAAGAATATGGTCTGTTCTCCACGAGTAACTTTCTTTTCAACCCTCTTAAATCACTGTCTCTCATTAGAGTCATTATTTTCCGTTAAAATCGTTCATGCCCAACTCATAAAGCTCAGTCTTTGCAACACCAACACTTTCTTGGGTAATCGCTGTCTTGATCTTTACTCAAAATTCGGAACCATTAAAGACGCTTTCCAAGCGTTTGATGACATACGCCACAAAAATGTATTCTCTTGGAATATATACATGCGAGTTCTTATTAGTCTTGACGACATTAAAGGAGCACGCCAACTGTTCGATGAAATGCCTGAACGAGATGTCGTGAGCTGGAACTCCATCATTTCAGGGTACTCTTCTAGTGGGTTTCACGATTGTGCGCTTCGATTATTCTCACGAATGCAAACTTTTGGAGTAACACCAAGTGACTACACATATTCGATTGTGTTGTCATTCATACAATCTGCTCATCATGGGATGGAAATCCACTGTAACATGATAAGAAATGGAGTCGATTTCTCTTCTGTTATTATCTGGAACTCATTGATTGATATGTATTGTAATCATGGCGTTCTAGATTATGCTTTTGGTGTGTTTTTAAATATGGAGCAAATCGACATCATCTCCTGGAATACACTGATTGCAGGTTTTAGTAAATCGGGTTACAAAGAATTGGCTTATAAACACTTCAACATCATGAGAACAACCAATCATCTACCTGATGCATTTACAATATCTTCAATTATGACTTCATGTTCTAGTTCTACTTCTACCATTGATCAAGATTTATCAACAGGGAAACAGTTATTCTCTTTATCCATAAAATTAGGGTTTCTTTCAAACACAATTCTTTCAAGTGCAGCTATCGACATGTTCTCAAAATGTAAAAATATAAACGATTCAATACGTGTTTTTGAAGAAATCAACAATTGGGATTCATGCGTTTGCAATTCAATGATTTCAAGCCTTGTGGACAATCGACTTGAGGTGAATGCAATTGACATTTTTGCCCTTTCTTTAAACAAAAACATAAGGCCTACAGAATTCACACTTAGTTGTTTGGTGAGTTGTTCTTCCCTCTTTCTGCCACCTGTCCTCGGGACACAGTTGCATTGTTTGGTTGTGAAATTAGGGTTTGAGAATGATTCTATTGTTTCAAGCTCACTTGTTGAAATGTATAGTAAATGTGGTTCCATTGACTCTGCAAAAACCATCTTTGACCAAATGGGTGTCAAAGATTTAATATCTTGGAACACCATGATTCTAGGGTTTACTTATAATGGAAAAACAATGGAATCCCTTAAACTTTTTGATGAATTACTCAAAAGTGGGCCCACCCCAGATGAAGTAACCCTATATGGAATTCTATTAGCTTGTAATTTTGGTTATTTGATCAATGAAGGGTTGTTAATCTTTTATTCAATGGAGAACGAATATGGGGTTACACCAAAAGACACACATTTGACCATTATTGTTGACTTGATGATAAAATGTGGAAGACTTAATGAAGCACTTGAAATAATTACAACAATGGATAGTGGACTCAATGGTGTTATGTGTAAATCGATTCTTGATGTTTATGGGGTATATGGAGAGTTGGGATTTATAGAAAATGTTGCTGAAATATTGATGAATTTGGAACCTATGTGTGTGTTACCTTATATTGTGTTGTGTAAAGCTTATGAAGTGAGGGGAAAATGGGAAAGTGTAGCTAGAGTGAAGAAAGAAATGAAAGATAGAAAGATTAAGAAAGTGGTGGGGTGTAGTTGGATTGGAGTAAAGAGAAATTTGTTTGATTTTAAAGAAAGTGAAGTTGTTCATCATGGTGGGGAAGATTTGTACTTGATGTTGAGATTAATGATGTGGGATTTAGATGATGAAGGTTATATATTTTAATTGTATAAAAGTGGATGATGGAAGATTAAAGATTTAGATATATAAAAGTGGTTGTAATTCTTCTTAAGTCATATTTTGCATCTTTATGCACTTAATTGTTTTTTTTATTTGTTTGTAGATTTAGATATGTTAGGATCCTAATCACCGAATCTTGAAATTATATTCAGAACTAATGAAACACGATCCAATATGATTAATATCTTTTATCCTTTTGTGTTTTATTTGTTTATTAGATCTTTTTAGTTAGGCAATAAAAAATTCGGTCTTTGTGTCTTACTGTCTTAGACCCGACGGAGTGTACCCGGAGGGATGCGAGGGAACCGTTCCCGCTCAATGGAACTCCGCACCGGCACTGCGGGAACAATGGTGCGGGAAAGGGGTGGGGGGGGTCCGGGTGCTGCACTCTCTCTCCGATTCCTATTGGCTGGATGATTTATTTATTTATTTTTTTTGGTAACGGTAAGAAATCAGAAAAAGGAAATATATATATATATATAATATATATATATATATATATATATATATATATATATTTTTTATTTCTTTCCCCATTATAAATACCAACCCAACCTAACCTTATTTTTAACCCATTTCTACATGTTATCTCTAAAAAAAACACTAAAACACAATGTCATCATCTTCATCATCCGATTCGACGGCTCAAGAGGAGTAGAGATGCACACAAAAACCGGATTGGCCCATAGGATCCGATCCGATCCGGAAACCGGATTTGGTCAAAACCGGTTTTGACCGAACCGGTTCGGATTAAACCGGTTTGGAGCTTCGGACGGAAAATCGGATCAACTCCCGGATCGTAAACCGGATTTTACTGAAACCGGATCCAGAACCGGATTGAAACCGGATTTTTTTTTGACCGTTCAAAAACGGGCATTTTCGATTTTTTTCCCTAGCCGTTGGCAAACTCCAAAAACGGCTAGTTTGACTATTTCTTGACTTTTATGACCTTCTAAACACATATAAATAGATGGCATTTACTAGATTTCAATGTTACACAAAATTCTACTACTTTATACTTCTATTTTCATAATACTCCACAAAAATGAGCTCGAAAAATTCTACTGCGGGTCAAGATTCGGATGCAACGGTAGTTAAAATCATACCAACCACTCGGAATAAAGAAGTGTGAAAACATTATGATTTGTGTTTGTTGTCGAACGGGAAGGAAAAAGCGAGATGCAAGAAGTGCGGGATTTTTTGGGAAAAGATGGTAATAGTACGCTGAGGAGTCATACAACAAAAACTTGTCCGGTTGTAAAAAGGTCAAGGTGATCCGGATCAACCAAATATTACTCCCGACGTGGCGATATTTATTTACAACAATGATGACATTCGTGAAAGCTTTTGCAAGTTCGTGATTCAAGAGGGCTTGCCTTTCAACCACTTCGACAACCCACGTTTGACAAGGATTTTGCGGGAAAAAATGCAACCATAATACCGGCATGTAAGTTGCACTTCTCTTAGACGTGATGCTTTAAAGTATTGGGATATAGCCAAAAAAGATATGCAATTGAGATTTTTAAATATAAAAACCGGTGTTTTTTTAACTTTTGATGTTTGGTCCTCCACCGGAAGTTGTCCCAAAAGCTATCTTGCCGTCACGGCACATTGGATAGATCCCTCTACTTGGATAATGAACAAACGGATTATTGCTATTGAACTTTTTGCGCATCCTCACACGGGGGCACAATTATTTGCAATTTTAGTAAGCGTTATAGAGACTTATAATTTAAGCGACAAAATCTTATCTATTTCGTTTGACAATGCAATTAACAATACCGCCGAAGCAAAAAGATTAATTGCAAAATATAAACCTATTTTGGATGACTCATTTTTTCATATTAGATGTGTTTGTCACATTATTAATCTTGCGGTACAAGATGATTTAAAAATGATAGATTCGACGATTGAAAAATTCAAAACTGTGTTAACTAGAGTTTTTGGAAAAAATAAAGCTACAATGGAAAAATATCGAAAGTGTGCCATTTCCATTAACGTAACTCCATATAGTCCTCATTGGGATGTTGACACTAGATGGAGTTCGACGTGCATGATGTTTGAAAGTTTGACACATCAAAGAATCGTTTTGCAATTATTTTATGACACAATTTCAAAAGGAAAAAACCCGGTTTCGGATTTTGATTGAGATTTGATGGAAAAGTTTGTGGAAATGTTAAAAGTTTTTAAACAATCAACCACTTTTTTATCGGACGTGTATTACCCTACAAGTCCGTTGTTACTAAATGAATTATGGTTGATGTCCGCGCAATTGGAGCGTTTTGAACAAAAAAAGTGAAATATTTGTTTTGGTTACGAGACCAATGAGAGAAAAATTAGTCAAATATTTCAAAAAAATGCCACCACTTTTTTCTTGCGCTGCGACATTAAACCCATGTATCAATGTTACGAGTGTAGAGACTTTCATTACCAAAATTTATATGTCTTTAAATTTGTACAAAGATGACTCAAACTACATCCGTAACAAAATACACAATTTTAATAATACTTTTACTAATTTGTTTGACATTTACGCTACAAAATATGGCAATATGTCAAACACTTTTGCAAGTGTAACCGACTTTACTAGTGGTGCATCGGGTAGTAGTGGGGGTCGAACGAATTTTCATATCGACCTCTATAACTACCTTTTGGAGGAACAAAACAAAAGAGCACGCACATTAACCCCTAGTAGCGAACTTGGAATTTATATGGGGTCAAACTTTTTAAAATTCATGAGTGCACCACAATTTAAAATTTTGGATCTTTTGGCTTGGTGGAGAGAAAATGAAGCACAATTTCCTATTCTCTTCATCATGACCTGCGATTTACTAACCGTCCAAGCTTCCACGGTAGCTTCGGAATTCGCTTTTTCTCTTTTAGTGGTAGAGTTTTGTCAAAGTTGAGGACGAATCTTACTCCGGTTGCGGTAGAGGTTTGCGTTTTTTTGAAAGTTACTTGGAATCGGTGGAACGTATACAACACTTGGCATCACTAGAAGGCCCACTAGCACAAAATGTTGAACCGGAGATCATGGATGAAGAATATACACAAGGCTTATCAACACCTCCGGAAGAAAACGAAGACGATGACGATGAAGACGAAGACGAAGATGAAGAATATGGTATTGATGAGACCCCTAACTATTTGCGTGGCGGTTGAAGAATATTTTAGTGAAGGCGACATGAAGTGGAAGACCACAAAAACTATTTCTATTTGGCTAAATGTTATAACGCCACTTTATTATTATTATTGTTATTGTTATTGTTATTGTTATTATTATTATTATTAGTTAACTAGTTTCTAAACTCTTTCTCTTTCGACGTTTGATGTATGTTTTAACTATTTTAATGAACCTATGTTGCATTTTGTGTTATATATGAGGTCCAAAAAATGTTTATTTAAATTTTTTTTTTTGCAAAAATTGGATCGGATTAAACCGATTCGGACTCGGGGGAGGAAAAACCGGTCAAAACCGGTTTGAAAGCGGATCGGATATGGGCTGGAATCGGATTGGGTTTGACGTCATCGAACCGGATCGGATCCGGATCCGTGGTTTGTGCATCTCTAAAGAGGAGGCATTTTGTCGGTTTCGTCATGGCGAAGATTGTTGCATATTTTCAAAAACTGACGAGGCCAAACTTCATGTCCACGAAATAAACCAAGAAAACCGTCGTTGCGTAGAAATCGCGAAACCGGACACAATCGTCTTATAGAAGACTACTTTGCAGATGACGCCGTGTACGCAGAAATGTTTCGACAACGGTTCTGGATGAGGAACGTATTTTTGGCGATTTGGAAGGCCGTTTTTCCGTATTTCCAATGGAAGCTAGATGGTAGACACAAAAAAGGTTTCTCTCAAATTCAAAAATGCACGACTGCAATTCGTCAGTTAGCATACGACATGGGTGTAGACAAATGAGACAAGTATTTAAGGATGTCTGAGCGTACCATATGGGAATGTGTGTACAAGTTCTCCAAGCTATTAATTTGGTGTACGGGCAATGATATTTGCGCAAACCAACTATCAACGAAAACCATTAGATATATTGCATGAGGGCAAACATGGGTTCCCAGGAATGCTAGGCAGTATCGATTGCATGCATTGGGCTTGAGCATTGTGCCCCAGTGCATGGTGTGGTCAGTACATGTGAGGCGACCACAGAGAGCCGACGATTGTTCTAGAAGCAATCACATCACATAATCTTTGGATATGTTATGCATTCTTTGGTCCAACTGGTGCAAACAACGACATCAATGCTCTGGATCAGTCGACAATATTCAAAGATATCTACATTGGAAAGTCGCACGATGTACCTTTTCAAGCAAATGGGGTAACATATAAGCGCGGGTACTATCTTATTGACGGTATATATCCTCCCTTATCTGTTTTTGTGAAATCGTTTACAAGTCCGAACGACGAAAAAAGAAAAAAGTTTAAAGAGGCGCAAGAGTCAGCTATGAAGGACGTGGAGCGAACATTTGGTGTACTCAAGAGGCGTTGGCAAGTACTAGCAGTCGGGGCACGGTCATATGAAGTGAAAAGGTTGCAACACGTAATGTATGCGCGCATCATATTGCATAATATGATTCTTGAAGACAAAGGAAGAGCAATATGTCGATACAACGAAAACGAAGTTTTGCCAAATATCAAAGGAGTAGCCGTTGGTACGCAAGAGTATAGGGCAAATAGAACAGAAATATACGATCGCGACATTCATCATGTCGTTCGTGCTGATTTGGTGGATCACGTTTATATGACTCACATTCAACCGCTGACAGAGTATTGACACAATGATTTGTTTAACGAATCAGATGAAGATTCAGATATATTCGTCGAGAGCGAGGATTCGGATGACGAGGACGTGAATGATGTAGATGAGAATGACAATGACGATGATGTCGATGACGAGGACGACGATCCCTAGTGACGTATTTTTGTTTTTTAAAATTCGGATATTAATTATGATTTTTTAGTTGTGTTTTTATTTAAATATTTGTTGGTTTTTTTTTTTTTTTTTTTTTATTTTTTTTATTTTTAAATCTTGCATATTTTAATGTAATTTTAAATTAATGAAGTGGTTTTTATTTTTAAGTAATTTTTATGTTTATTACTCATTTAAAAA